GCTTCTCAGATCGGCAGTGCAAGACCCCAGGCACTGAATGCGAGGGCCGAAAATTCGACCTTGTCCTGAGTGCGCATGTGATAGATGCTGTGCATGGTCTTGTTCACAGAGAAAGACTATGTTCTTTGTTCACAACTACATTTATCTTTCTGAGGAATTCACTCCCTTTTTCCCATTCCCACAGCCACATCTGTGACTGTCTCCCAACCCAGCCTGGCATCACACTCCCAGAGGCTAGCGCAGATTAGGCGGAGGAAGAAGAGGACGCGGGAGGACATGTTCTCGGAACTAATGGGCTGCTCCCGAGCCCAGGCAGCACAGCAGACCCAGTGGAGGGAGAACTTGTCCCAAATGCACCGGTCACACATGGAACGGGAGGAGAGGTGGCGGCAGGAAGACCAGCAGGCAACTCAAACGCTGCTTGGACTAATGAGGGAGCAAACGGACACGCTCCGGCGCCTTGTGGATGTTCTGCAGGACCGGAGGCAGGAGGACAGAGCCCCGCTGCAGTCTATCTGTAACCGCCCTCCCCCGCCACCAAGTCCCATACCCCCCTCACCCAAAGTCCAAAGAAGGAGGGGCGGCAGAGTCTGTGAAACCTCTCACTCCACCCCTGCAGACTGCTCTACTACTAGAAGGCTCTCATTCCCCAAAATTTGACAAGTCCTTTCCTTCCCGCTTCACACAAGCCCCCGTCCAAGTTTCACCCCCCAGTTTCATGTGTAGTTGATAATAAAATATACGTTTCTGTTAATTACTGTTTCCATCATGTTCTTTTGGAGGAGAGTCTGTCTGAAGGGGGGGAAGGGGGTTGGTAATTGGACAGGACAGTCACCTTTAGCAGGGTACAGAGGCGGGGGCAGGTCCAACAGCAGGGCACATACACAGTGCAGTGACTAGTTACCCTGGTCAGTCTGGGAGGTGGTTTTCATGTTCTGGCGGGGGGAGGGGGGTTGCTCTGTGACTTTGTGGCGGGGGAGGGCAGTTACAGATCTTATGCAGCGGTCCTTATCCTGGATCACAGAGCCACACAGCAGGGGATCTGTAACCCTCCTTCCCCTGCCACAAAGTCACATAGCCCCCACATACATGCAGTCCCGATCAGGAGGGCTGGCAGGCTCCGTTGAAACAACCAGTCCACCACTGCGGAGCCTGGCATTCCTGCAGTTTAGAAGCGTCATTTGCATCAGTACACTACACCCGCTCCCCACCACAGTCTGCGTCCCAGATTTAAAACATTCCCGCGAAAACAGTAATAAAGAAAACGGTGTCCATTAACAAAATAGAAGTCATTTTATTTTTAAACGTGTGTTGGAAGGGGGTGAAGGGGGTATGTAACTGGAGAGGAGTCAACATTAACTGGGTAAAGAAACGGGGGCAGGTTCAGCTTCTCTGTACACAAACTTAAAAGTCACAGGTTACCCTGCTCACTCAGGAACCTAGCTTTCAAAGCCTCCCGGATGCACAGCGCATCCCGCTGGGCTCTTCTAATTGTCCGGCTGTCTGGCTGGGCGTAATCAGAAGCCAGGCTATTTGCCTCAACCTCCCACCCCGCCATAAAGGTCTCCCTCTTGCTCTCTCAGAGATTGTGGAGCACACAGCAAGCTGCTATAACAATGGGGATATTGGTTTCGCTGAGATCACAGCGAGTCAGTAAGCTTCTCCATCTCCCCTTGAGACGGCCAAAAGCACACTCCACCACCATTCTGCACTTGCTCAGGCGGTAGTTGAAGAGTTCTTTTTCAGTGTCCAGGGCGCCAGTATAGGGCTTCATGAGCCAGGGCATTAGCGGGTAGGCTGGGTCCCCGAGGATCACTGTAGGCATCTCCACATCCCCAAGAGTTATTTTGTGGTCCGGGAAGTAAATACCTTCCTGCAGCTGTCTAAACAGACCAGAGTTCCTGAAAACGCGAGCGTCATGAACCTTGCCCGGCCATCCGACGTTGATGTTTGTAAAACGTCCCCGATGGTCCACCAGTGCTTGCAGCACCATTGAAAAGTAGCCCTTCCTGTTAATGTACTGGCTGGCCTGGTGGTCCGGTCCCAGGATAGGGATGTGAGTTCCATCTATAGCCCCACCGCAGTTTGGGAATCCCATCGCGGCGAAGCCATCTATGATGGCCTGCCCGTTTCCCAGGGTCACTATCTTTGAGAGCAGTACCTCAACGATTGCGTTGGCTACTTGCATCACAACAACCCCCACGGTAGATTTGCCCACGCCAAAGTGGTTCGCGACTGACCGGTAGCTGTTTGGCGTTGCAAGCTTCCAGAGGGCTATGGCCACTTGCTTCTGGACAGTCAGGGCTGCTCGCATCCGGGTGTCATTGCGCTTCAGGGCAGGGGACAGCAACTCACAAAGTTCGAGGAAAGTCCCCTTCCGCATGCGAAAGTTTCGCAGCCACTGGGATTCATCCCAGACCTGCAGCACTATGCGGTCCCACCAGTCCGTGCTTGTTTCCCGGGCTCAGAATCGCCGTTCCACAACATCCACATGACCCATTGTCACCGTGATGTCCTCGGCGCTGGGTCCCGTGCTTTCTGACAGGCCTGTGCTACTCTCAGACTTCAGGCCCTCACCGCGGTGCCGTAGCCTCCTCGCCCGATTTATCTGCATCTGCCTCTGGGAAAGGTGGATGAGAAGCTGCGAGGCGTTGACAACGGACACAACTGCAGCGATGGTCGCAGCGGGCTCCATGCTCGCAGTGCTGTGGCGTCCGCGCTGTCACTGACCAGAAAAGTGCGCGAACTGATTTCCCGCCGGCGCTTTCAGGGAGGGAGGGAGGGCGGTAGTGACGGACGGATGACGACAGTTACCCAAAAGCACCCTCGACACATTTTTTTACCCAGAAGGCATTGGCGGCTTGACCCAGAATTCCAGTGGGCAGCGGGGACTGCGGGAACTGTGGGATAGCTGCCCACAGTGCACCGCTTCCAATGTCGACGCTTTCCCCGTTAGTGTGGACTCACAAAGTCGAATTACTGTCCTTAGTGTGGACACACACGTTCGACTTTGCAATATCGATTCCACATATTCGATTTAAGTGAAATCGAACTACTCTCGTAGTGTAGACATACCCTCAGGCTCTTGAGTTGTGAAGGGTCATCCATTTGCTGGGCATGCTTCATTGATTGGTACCAACATGTGAAAGGAAAGAGTGGACTTGACTGCAACAAGCTACTGAAATAAAATTGTATTATAGAATTAATTGTTGATCTTGGTTCGAAGGATTATTCTAATGTCAATAATCCAATGGCTGAAAGTTGAAGCTAGTGAAAATAAGGTAAATATTTAGTAGTGAGGGTAATTAACAATTGGAACAATTTACCAGTGGTCATAGTGGATTCTCCATCACTACCATTTTAAAATCAAGATTGGATCTTTTTTTCTAAAAGATAAGCTCTAGGAATTATTTTGGGGAAGTTCTATGTCTTGTTTTATACAGGAGGTCAGACTAGTTGATTGCAATGGTCCCTTTTGGCCTTAGAATCTATTGATCTGTGAATCCTGACAAAAAGTTTATGGATCTAGGCAATGTCAAACTGGTAATACTGGATCCTGATTGTTTCTGTTAGTATTTACAAACCTATGCATTGCTTCTGCGGCTCAAATCAAAGACCACTCATATAGAGTGTGGTGCCATTTAAATTGTCAGTTCTAACCCAAGTGGTTTTGTTTAAGAATATGTGATCCCCTAGTGACTCTTAAATTATATTGTATTATTTCCATTTGGGAGTGAACGAACTGTAGGATTTATTTTATTTGATTAATGAAGATACCAAGATTGCAGCCTGCAGTGTCAGTCTCTAATTCTATTAATAGAATCTCTAATTCTGTGAATTTGATAACACTAGTTAGTCTCTAGTTCTTTTAAAAATGCATTTTAAATTAGGATTTTAACTTGTTTTGTGTGGCCCTCTGTAGACTATATGCTAGTAACCTGACCTTTTCTTCCCTCTACTGGAAAATCATATCTATGGCTGGTGTATCCTAGGGTACAGGCTTCCTAGGACCAATTTAAAAATGTTATTGATGCAATCTCACTGTTTTTTCCCCATGTGGTTTCTAAATTTATTATTATTATTATTTATTTAGTGTATTTTTGTTTATTCTCCTAAAAACTACCTATGTCACTGTAATGTAGAAATTACGATGACCCACATACAGGATCATAGCTCAAAATAGGAAACTCCTTCCTCTGGAATGTAATGACTATGGAAGAGATCCGTACATGCAACAATAATTATTACACCTGTGTATTGTTGGATATAGGGTCATTTTATTTGTTGTCTTTTCTTTGTTCACCATTGTAGATTTAATGTATAAAACGTGTTTAACACATGTAAAATTGGTTGTCTCCATGTTGCTTGGTGAGATGTTTATCTAAATGTCCTTATATAAAAGCTGTCTTTTTTCTTTCTTTTTTTAGATTTAAATAACAAAAATTACCCATCCAAAATGCCCTACGTGCCCTAACAATTGCATACCATTAGAAATGACTACCTAGTAGCAAAAAATAATCATATATAAATAATGAATTATCTAAGGCAATCAATAATTCAAAGAAGCAAAAGAGCCACTTTTAGTCCTCCTCCACCATCTCTGCCACAAAAGAGCATATTCTCATCTGTTCCTGAAAACCTTGTCAAATAAATGGCTTTTGCCGTGTGCCTCAAAGGTTCTCAAGTTCAGGCAATTTCAGAGGAAGGGGCATATCACTAGCTGGTGATATCTTTGAGCGCAAAGGTAAATCGTACAAGCATGGAGAGTATGTCAATAACATTATTCAAGATATAAAACTATGGCAGGCTTAACTTTTATAAAGTCAAGCCAAATTTACACTAGTGTAACAACAAGATATTTTTATCTCTTTGTTTGTATTGTATGATGTTCCTTTAATAACAAAAATTATTTCTGTTAGGTTCACTAGATGTAGATTTCAGAAACATGCACATAATCTACTAATATTGGAATTTTTTTCATGTCTTCTTTCTTGCATTAGTATCTGAAGTCCATGTACCTTCAGATGTTCTTCTGGAGCATTCTCTGTCTTCTGCTTGCCTTGTGCCTTCTGATTCATTCATCTTATCAGGTGATGATGTACTGACAACTGTTCAAACAGCCAACAGTATTTTAAACCCAGCTGTTCTTAAAGAACAGGTAAGCACATAATCTTAATTTTATTACAGGAAGTTGATGTGTTTTATCCCTTGGCATTGTATTTTTTCTTATCAAATTAGAGATATTTTTTTTTCTTAAGGGACAAAAGTTGACTCTTGAGTAGTTTCTACAGGTGTAATTTCAAAACAAAGATATCAGTTACCAGTCTCTGAATATTCATTGTGAAGATGAGTACCTTTGAATTCTTTGAGATGGCAGAATATAATTAAGCTACAAAGCAATGTATGTTTTAGCATGTGTATATAATATTAGATAAAAATGTAGTTTAAATCCACAGTGAAATGCTTCTCAACCTCAAAACAGTAATTTCAGTATATAATTACTCTTTCTTAAATAAAAGATTTTTTTAAAGTAATTTGTGAGACATCACAATACTTTCATATGGTCCCCAATTAAGCTGCGTACATTAAAACGTGCTCAATTTTAAGCATATGCTTAAATACTTTGCTAAACTGGTACCATAATGCTGAAATACGGGAGGCATTGGCAGGAATGTTCTTTGGAAAAAGGATTGCTGTTAAAGCTACCAAAAATTTCAGAAATAGTCCCTGCTTAAAAATGTCTTTTCTAGCAGCTTTAGAATTAGACAGTTACCTTAAGATTTACAAGCTCCCTCACTCAAAATTAATAGTATCTTACTCTTCAAGTATTCCCATTAACTTCAGTGCGGCTACTCATGTGAAGTACAATCCAAAGTGAATTAGGGATAACCATCTGGCTGTTGGCAAACTGTTATTTTAATGGTATTTCATATGCAAATGTTTTGATGGTAGCGCTTCAGACACAGGTCTGCTAACCATTATGTAATGTATGTGTTTTGGCAAACTGGCATTTAAATCTTCTACTGAAAGTAAAAAGCAACAGAGAGTCCCGTGGCACCTTTAAGACTAACAGATGTATTGGAGCATAAGCTTTCGTGGGTGAATGCATGCATCCGACGAAGTGGGCATTCACCCACGAAAGCTTATGCTCCAATACATCTGTTAGTCTTAAAGGTGCCACAGGACTCTCTGTTGCTTTTTACAGATCCAGACTAACACGGCTACCCCTCTGATACTGAAAGTAAGGTTTTCATAGCTTTTATATGAAATATAATTTCAAAATGTCTGTCATATATTTATGATGAAATAATATAATTTGTCTCTCTTATGAATTAGGTTCAGTTATCAGCCAGTTCTTCCTTGGATATCTCAATTCCTTCTTTGAGTTTAACGGAAGGAAAACCTTCAGAAAATTCAACCATCCCTGTGGGTGACTCTGAGAAGCCGGGAATAAATGGATCAAAGAAGCATCTTCAACCAACAGTTGCAAGTCTAGAGATTAAACTTAAAGATGCTGAAGAAGAAAAATGTAGAATTAAAAAGGTATGGCTGCTCTTAAATGCACGCAGAACTTAATGGTAGCAGGAGCTGGCACTGGCACCCATAGCTAAGGTGTTTAATACTTTCCGTTACGAGACCTTGTTTTCAGTTACTTATAATTTTGCCAAACTTTAGCTATTCAGACTTAAATTTTCCATGTGGGGGTCTGCCTCAAGCTGTTTTTGTACTTTTTTTTTTTTTTTTTTAAATTTAAGCAACAAATGGTTCAACTTATTCTAAGAATTTGGTTAGGGAAAAGTATTGTCTTTCCAGTGTGAAAATATACTTAGAATCATTTTGTTGAGACTTTTTAGCACCTCCTTGCTGTGGAACAGGGACTTGACATTTTGAAATTGGGGTTGCCCTGGGGTCAGACAGGTGCCTTTTGCTGTCTCTGTGGAAATCATGTTCAGTACAGCTTTGTAAGAGACTGGCAGTCAAATTCTTCTAATTACACATACAATGAATACACTACTGCCCAGGGCTGAGCAGTTCTTTCCTTGCAATTGCTTCTCCCAGCTATTGAGGGTACCAGGGCACTGGATATTGGAACTGAATGGGCACACACTGGCTCCTGTGCTCTCAATGCCTTGCTGCCTGATGCCCAGGCAGTATGGACAAGAAGGAGGAATTTAGTTTTATTGGAATGTGGAGGTGTTAAGGAACAGAAGCAAGGACAGTGACAGACTAGGGGTGATAAGGGCTGAGGAGGACAGGGATAGGCTTGAAGGGCAATAGAAGCAGGTTGGCATAGACTGAGATGGAGACATGTTAGGCAACAGGTGCAGAAATACTGGGATAATGCCAGCTTACCTGACACCTCTTTAATTTGAGCCAGGGGATATTTTGGCTTCAGTAATCCCCCAGGATATGGGTGTGTGCTTTGGATTCCCTGTGAATCTAGCACACAATTTTTTTAGATGGAAGGCAGAAGTTAATACATACAGTTATTTAATACAACACATGTTGTTGTTCATTTTGGGGAGATGCTTAGTGTGACCCAGAGGCCTCTGTGCCAACTGGCAGAGGAGTGTATAATGGTTACAGGGATCCCCTAGGTCTGTGATCTGCATGGTAGTTTGCCAGTGTGTGGCATTTGGGGTCTCATGAGACCCCAAATGCGGTCTATTTTTGCATGATAGCAGGTGTCGTAAAACCATCAGTAGTATAGCTAGTTTGGAATGACTTCCTGAAGATTGTACTTTCACATTTAAAAATAAAAACAAAAATCTGTGTAACTTTTTCTATTGTTAGGAGTTAGAAGATTTGATGGAAAAGCATAGTATCCTGCAAACCGATTTCTTGAAAGAAAAGGAAGGTGAATTCATCTCACACCAAGATCGCTACAAAAAGCTGCAGGTAATTCTGCTTCTTTTTCGCTGCTTGTCCTTCTGGCAAAGATCATGTGTAATATGTGTTTAATATTCCATAAGTCCTGCATCTATGTATCTGTGGGCCTGATCCACAGCCTGTTAAAGTCACTGAGAGAATTTCGGTTTATTTTTATGGCCTTTTTGGAGCAGTCTTGATATTCTTCACTGGCAGGGGCATGGACTTAATGACCAGACTTTTTTATCTTAAATTGTTACACATATGAATGATTATACTTAAAAGGTGTTAGCTGACTTAAATAGGAAGTAAAATAGTTTGAGAATCACATCAGAAACATGTGGATCAAAAATAAGTGTAACTAGGTAATTGCCGGACAGCAGGATAAAAACCACTTTCATCACATCAACGTCAAGTCATTGCATTAGATACATGCCCAAATCCCTTGACACCAGAAAGAAAGGTTATTTAATTTCTTTTATTTAAAAAAGTTTTCAGTATCATTTAGTTACCTTGGAATGGACTTAAAAAAACAAAAACTCTCAAAGGTTTCTCCTGGGGCTCCAACATTGCTTGACTCTTGACATTCCTAAATGGTAATTGTGTTGTTTTCCATTACAATTAACGTTGGCTGCAATAAAATATATTCTCCATCAGGTAGGAGTGAATTCTTGGCTGCTCTACCTTCAAGCCATATGGTGATATTTTTTTCTACCTCTCTATGCAACTAGCCTCTTGAAATCCGGAATCTTTGCCTAATGACAGAACTGGATATACTGGATCAGTTTGCTAACTACATTTTTAAAATAAAGTTGACTTAAAATCCTTTCTTATTTACAAAGTCATAGTATATATCGATTATAAGGTTAATCACCACATTGTTCATAAACCCAGACATTTGAATTACCAGCTTTACTTTTTTAATACTTTGAGAGAGGCTTTCTTTTGGTGCATGAATAGAGTTTAAGAAAAGGGACTACTAATCAGGCTAACAAGAATTGGAGTGTCTGTATTGTACATTTTCACTGTCAGATTTAACGGCTTTCAAGAATGCCAAATGAAAGGGTCATAGCCTTTAACTTACTTTGAAGAAAGACTCTTGTACTTCCTCCTTCCCTCTTCTGTTGTCTTCAGGGTATAGTCTGAATCAAATCAGAGAAGAGAAGTAGTCCTACTTCTAGGAGCCGACAGCTAAAATTACTTTCATGTAACTTGAATGTTGGACTCTTTCTGTTAGTACAGCTATTAATGCCAATTCCTTTTGTCTTCCTCCTTTGGCTTCATAGCACTTAGGTCAACACCTGTGGCCACACACTGAGTAAACTTGGCTGCTGCAGAATACAGATGTCCGGCTTGCCAACAAATCTTTTTCCAGCAGAAACAGCTGCTTATTAGTCTGTTGACTTGAGTAGCTTAAGAATGGACTATATTAGAGACTGGAATATCTTTGGGAGTTCTCAGACTCAGCCTATGACTGATTCTGTCTTCCCAAACAATAATTTTCATTGATTTACCTCCTGTTATAAGAAGTTTGTTTATTCTAATGTTTGAATATAATAGCCAGTACAAATACATCTCAGGATCCTTATACAAGCTCATTTATGTGAAAATGCATTGTTTCAGATGGCCTTATATATTTGTTTTATAAAGCTACTCATGCTATCTATAATGAACACCCACATCTCAATGAGTAGATTCTTTTCATACCACTGAATACTACCATCCACAAATTTATGTGCTGTTTATAAAAAAAAAAAAAAAAAAAGTTTTTATCCAACACTTGTAACATAAAGAATCCTCAAGATGACTCAACTTACTTTCAGTGGAGAACTAGTGATATACAAAGTTGTTGGGAAGTAACAATAGATCCAGACTGCAGGCCAAATCTTGAAACAATGTAAAATTAATTTTTTTTTAGGCTAGGAAATATTTGGATAAGTAGACAGTTCCTTTACTGCCAGCAGCTACCTGTATTGAGGCCTGAGAGGATGTCAGCAGTATGTAGACACACATACATAGACATTGATAGGTAGAGCATATAAATCCAAAGAATGAATAAATGATAAATCTCCTGTTTTACAAAGCATGCTGGAAAAGTAAAGAAGTGTAATGGAGATTCCTCTGTCTTGACACAGTTACTCATTTAAACAACCTTAATAATGGTACTCCTTTTGAACCAAAGGAAGTCACAAGTTTTAATCATTCCAGTTCCGTTTTCTGGTGGCAGTTGTTTGCCCTCCAGGTTTCTGAGATGATACCCATGCTTTTAAAGTCTTCTGTTTTCAGTTTTCCACAAAAACAAAATAGTTCTACATATGGTTCCATCCACTGCTAACAAGTACCCCACTGAATATCTGATTCAAGATATTGTCTTTCGTGCTTTTCTTATGCACATCTCCCTCCAACAAGGATGACTGTTGTTTTTGTGCCTTAGTTGATAGTATTCAAATAGAATTTCATATGTATAAGCTTTTTAATTTTTTGTTTGTTCATTTAAATGTATTGAAAGACTAAGGAAAGAGCATAAAGCAAATAAAATTGTGTTCTGTAAATGGATTAGTGTGTGTTACTGAGATAAAAGCTGCTTAGGGCTACCAGGACCCACAAAAAAGAACTCCCCACAACTGCAAAGCTGACGTGTGGTCTGATGAACACATACAGATGGAGAAGCTGAGACAGAGAGGTTACGGTATTGCGCCAGAGAGATAATTATTGTTATAGCTGGGACTAGAATTCAGAGATTGTATGCTTTAATACCGGCACTTCACCTAACAGATGACAATACAGTGCTCTCTCACTCATCTGTACTATCTATAAAAGAGGGAAATAAAAATTTCTCAGACTAGTGTTTCTCTAAAAATTCAAGTATAAAAAGTCAAGTGTGAACATAGCATGTGGTATTCTCACATTCTTAATGTTTTTCTCACATATTTCTGCAACAACCATAAAAGGGCAGAGCAGAACATTCATAAATTGAGTGGACAAATTGCTCTTAATTGATATTATATACTTTATCCAATATTTAATGCGAATTTATGGTTGAGATTTCACATACACAAACTAGTAAATTGAGTTATGATTCCCACATTCTCACTTGAGTATTTGTAATATTTTAAAATACAGAACAACATATTGTAACTTTAACTTCTTTACATATGAAATGTGGCCAGGTTACAACTGCTGTGGGAACCATAACTTTGAATTTCCTGAGTTTTCTGTATGCAGCCTCTCAACCATAAAATTGCATTAATGCAGTTTTATCCATATAATTTCCTTGGTTACTTAAAGAGAAAGAAAGGAAGCAGGTGCCAGTATTTGTGTCTGATTTTCTGATCAGTCAAATGTATATTCACCTCAAATTTCTCATGCTCTGTCTCTCTATGCCCCTGAATGCCCTGTGCTGGACCTTTTCTAATGCTTTTTTTGTGGATACATATGTCTGTCTCTGCAAATGAAAGTTATCATTTTAAACTTGAGAAAATAAAACTATGGCATATTTTGTATTGATATTCTGTAGAACTGAATATTAACTAAATTTTGCAGATCTACACTCAGTGATAAGGAGCTATTTCTAATAAAGATAGATATTACAGTGATACTGAAGACAATTGTCCATTATTAATAGATGACATTCTCATATTAAAAGCAAAACAAACAGTTAATATTTAATTTGAGAAGGAGAAAACATTGCATTTCATGTGTTGCTGTAAAACTAGACTCCAAAACTATGAAGTGGAAACTAATTCTTTTGATACATTCTTTATCTGATATGACTTCTGATATTTGATCTGTTTGCAGACAACAGCATTAGATGGTTCACTAAAAAGTGGATAATTATTTTCCTCTGCCTTTTCTTTGATTTACCACACAGATTTATTTGAAGTGATATAGCCTCACTGTTGGAAAATTCTAATTGCAGCTATACAAATTTTCCCCGTCACCAACCCTTTTAGAAGTTGAGTAGGTCTTTTTTTCCCCACAGAACAATGTAATTGATGTGGGATGATCTTTCCTTTGAAACACAGTTTCAAGATTTTTCTTTTGGCAGCCCTCTTTTGTTTTTAATTTAAAAAAAAAAAAAAATAGTTTTTTTTGAATTTTTTTTTTTTTTTTTTTTTTTTTTAATCCTTGTTCTCATTGTTCTTCCTTTTGTTTAGGGAATGTCTTTGCAACTTACTTACTTCCAAAGTTGATTTCATTCTGTCTGTTTAAGTTAACAATATTCCAATTGTGGTAATAGTCATGAGCAAAAATGATTTCATTTTGATGACATTTAGGCTGAAACAGCTATTGTTTTTCTCTTTGTATTCATAACAATAGTGTAAACTGGAGGGTAATCAGCAGGTCAAGTAGACTCCATGATATCAAAATGTTTTATAGATATAAGAATAAAAGGAAACTGGTGCTTCAGAGGGAAACATTTTCAATGCAATACATAATGAATGTTTGAGTTACACAAGGTCCATTGTCATTAATGGGACTTGTATCTAATTTCCTGTGTACTTTATCAAATATTTAACATAAATTGGGATTGAATTGGGAGCCAACACTTCATGTAGGAATACTGTTCTTGTTGCTGTTAGATGACAAAATTCATATGTATTCTTACATTGCTGTGTTTGATATTATAGGGGATTCAAAGAGTGCCTGTTAAACTCACATTCTTCTTCTTTGAGTGATTTCTTAGGTGTGCGTTCTTGCCCCGTGCACCGGTGCCAGAAGTTTTTCCCTTAGCAGTATCCGTAGTGGGGGAGCACTGCTGCGACCCCTGGAGTGGCGCCGACATATCGCACCATAAAGGGGGCTGCATGCACCCCCCACCCTCAGTTCCTTCTTGCCGCCAGTGAAGGTAGTCGGAACTTGCTCCAGCCTTGGCTGCATTGTTTATAGCCTTAGTGGTATCTTGTTCACTGAACTGCTTCTTTACTGAACTTTTCTTCGTTAGTGCCTGGCTCGGGGCATGCCCTGTGGCCCAGGCTTCAAGTCGTGCGACTCTTGTCGCAACTCTATGCCCAGAAGCGATCCACACA